TTGCTAGTCTAGTCTATGATAGTGGCGTCAGTTGTATGAGGCCCCTGGGCCCCCCACCGCGCTTGTGAATGTTGAACTTTTATTGATCGTAAAATAAATTCTATATGAATACACAAATGAAATATTAATACGTGATTCATTTGATTTATGATTAAATCAAATACAAATTGCGGCGAATGTTTAATGTTTGTTGATATTTATTTTCTTGTAGATATTTTTAAAAATATCTTAATTTTTTTATATGTTAAAAAAGAATTTTTAGTAATATTTTTATTTCTTTGTATTACTTCGAGGCCCCCTCACGTAGGGCCCTCCAGTATAAAGGGCCGTAACCGCGTGACATCCCTATATTAACCGTTAGTCTGTTAAGTCACGCTCTGGGATAAATCGCATCTCACAAGTCACAGTTTCGCCATTCGGAATTACAATTGATGTCCTATGAGAGAATCTGGATACAATAGACGATTATCGGATTGGGAAACTAAAAAATATAGCTTTATAACAATCAGTGTATTTTATGTTCTTTAATAATTTTATTACGACGAAGTCCCTCTTCGAATGAGAATGTATGGAGTAGTTTAAAATAAAACCCTGTCACAAAATAAATGCGTATGAGAATCATATCATTTTAAATTAACGAATTACTTCATTAATTATTTCAAATATTGCATTGCATTTGAATATAAAGAAAACTAACAATCTTTCACAAAGGGACTATACATTACATGTTCATAAACAATGGCTCTAATATGAAAAAACATTAATAAACCTTCGAAATTTCATCCCACATCGAACCTTGCCCATATATATTGATACGTTAATGAATTTATGGCTTTCGATTTGCGAGCAATCAGTTTTAAGTGGTTTATTGTACTGTAATACTGATTATTGTTATACATTCGTTGTAATTAGTTGCAAAGACAATGGCACGATGGCCGAATTCCTAAGTACGACTTGGGAGCCGGGGAGTGGTCTATATACAATCAAATAAAATCATTATGATCTCATGCCTGTCTTGTTACTATTTATTTGAATGTTCAATAATATCATTCTGTATAATCAATAATATTGGTTACTTCGTAAATTAAATATATTTAATCAAATACTCTGCGATTTTGCAAGTATACGTACGTCTCAGATCTCGTATGCCCGTGATCACGGTTGCTGTAAAGTAGCCGAAACGTCGGGAGTATGTAGTTTATAGTCAAAAATAAAAAACACGTAGTAAATCCGAAAATATTAGTATCATTTATACGTACGTTTTATGTACCGTCCATAGAATAAGATTTAATTACATTTTACACAGAAATGTAGAGTAATTAGTTGATATATAATTAATAATTATGCTATTGATATAATTAGTTCAAACCACAGAAAACCAGTGACCGTATAACGTCTGGTCACGCCTCGATGCTTCGGTGTCTTATAACACCAATTCCGATTGAGATACATTACACCAATTAGTTTATAAGTTCAAACAAAGGGCTGATTTTATCTATAATTATTAATTCGCCGCAACTAACGATGTGACCAATCTCCATTCTATAGTTACACAAACAAACATTAGGCTTAATAAAATAAATTAAAAATACATTAACATAATTTATTTTACGACCCGGGTCACATGGTGGAAATTTTAAAATTTATAGTCTTACTAGCGATAACAATGCATGATTTTGTTTAATATTATACGAAAAAGTTTTATTTTAACATAAACTTACCTGTTTTTTGGCAGCTCGTATTAATGTAGACAACTGCCTGATACAAATAAGAGCTGTAACATAATAAAAGCATTAAAATTCTTCGATATTTAAAACTTTCTTTCCTTATATTTCCATGTTACAATACAAGTGTGAATCAAGATGACTTTAATACCATCAAAATCTGTCAAGCAAGATAAAAAATAAGGATTTATTAATAATATTCTATATGTTTATCGTAAAATTTCACATAATGAGATTACTAAGTGATAACATTTAAATTTGTCTACATCTTCTGAGATTAAATTAAATCATTGACATAAACAATCAAGATCTCACATTTACATAAACAGATTAACGTTGCCATCCTCATTTGAATTGCCAATTTGATTTAGTATATAAATTTATCTTACATAAATCCACTATATTAACAAAATATACCCATTACTGAGCTCGAGATTTAGTTACGATGATTCAATTATGAAATAAATATTTAGAATACATCGAAAACTTCTTTTGTTCTTCATCTAACTAGATATAATAATTCATACGTCGAAATATCCAAAATGTTTATAACACTTATGTATATACATCGCAAATTAGGTCTGTCTTTCATTGGCTTACTCCAGACCGTGATCTCATTCCGATCCAGAGGCTGTGATTTATCGACAGATTACTGTACGTGACGCAAGCGACTACCAGTCCATGACTACTGACACTCCTTGATGATGTGAGCTAATACACCGTACAGGCGATACATTTTTATAAATCCCTTTATATTCAACGACATATTACGACATACGAGTATAAATGGGATATTTAGTGAATTCAAATCACGAAGTTTTAACCTATATACATATTACATTAAACCATCACAATCTCATCGATTTGTTGTATTAATTTAAATGAAACTTATATTTTTCGGATATACTACGAGACTTTATTTTTGTAAAAAACGAGAGGAGACGAGATGAGACATCTTGTCTGCCCGTGATCACGATTGCTTTAAAGTACCGTAGTTATTTTTACACATCACAATATAAAAGTGAAATCGGATCGCATTCTGTAAAGAGGATTATATCTATTTTTAGACAATGTAAACCAAACTGAAAGATTACTGTCGCAGCGACTTTGATAAATATACGTTAGGTGAAACAATGTGAAATGACATAATTAATGCCCTTTTAATATAATTTATTTGTAATACGACATTCCACTATAAATAAATCTATTCCCGTAGAGTTGACAAATAGATGACAGTTGTGCTGTCATGTATTAACATGTTAAATACGTAATACAAAAGTAACAGGATTTGTTTGACTGTTTGTTATCAATAAATTACATTAATCTCTATGTTATATGGTTTCCATTCACAGTCGGTAGCCCTTAGCGATGTTATCAGGCACTTTGTATGCCAACTAGCGCCATCGGCGATATAAAGAACACGCTCGTCTGTGATCAAAATTACAATATGTGACACTGTTTAGCTTAGCCCTTACACATAAGTTATTCTCCTGTAATATACGTACCTTTAAGCTTGTCATTACAAATATAGTAGTCATTCAATTAAATATTGAAATATTATAAAAATAAATCCTTTTTTTTAATATTTGTTGCGATTTTTTTTGTTATTTTCTTGTATAGGATATATTTGAAAGAAACGAATATTTTAAAAAGAGTAATATATAGTAATAATAGTAATAATATATAGCGATTATATACCTAAAAAGCTTGAGAGCATATTATGAGAATTTAGAGGAGGGGTAAGGTATAATGATATTATAAGTATAGGAAAAAAAGAAATGAGACTTCACCAATCATCTAATAATTTAAATTATAAATAACTACAATATATTCTTCATATTAAATAATGATATTAATAGTTGTACAAATCCCATGATAAAGTTACAATTACCATACGCTGTGGCTTAAGTCTCACAGAGATGCTTTATGGATAAAATTAGCCAAAGCATCTCTTGAAGTTCATGTTTTGAAATACAACACCAATTCAATAAGATTGATTGCATGTAAGATACATTAAAACCATTAATGAAATTTGTTTTATAATAATTAATTATTAAAAGTCGTTTTAAGATGACATTTTGCTTTCAAGTATCGAAAATATTGAATGCTTTATGATTTATAAACCTAAATAAAAATAATCATACGGCTATCTGAGTCTAATAATTAAGATATTATAGTATTAATTAATCTTTTTATTATAACGGATGGAAAATTAGAGCGCATCAGATTTACGGAAGGCGGTAGAAATCAAAATCATGTCATCGAATATTACATGACATGTGCATTACTAACAAGGAAACCAAACGCTTAAATGGATTAAAATAATAAACTGAATATTGCGTTTCACTTAAACTGCAATGCCATATGGTTAAAGGGGTCATGAAAGATGTTTAAACAAATGGTAATGCATTTACCGAAAGCTACAAGCAAGCTTTAAAAAACCTTAAAAGTAAGAAGTCGTGTTGTGTACGTATTGTTCTTGTAAATTGGAAAGTGATAAAAGGATGTGTCGATGGAAGTACATATGTGTTTGTTCCTCAATAAAATAAAAAGTGGTTTTTACTTTTTTTTTCTCATATTATAAATAAAAGGCAATTTATAAATAACAATTGGTGCATTTAAAGCTATGACAAGCTGGAAGCAAACATTTAAATGTTCGATTTTATTGTTTCAGATTCATCGCCGTGTTCTTGAGAGAGCAGCTAACATACGCACAAACAAACACAGAAGTCGGTTTCCCAGTGAGTTTTATTAATTTTAATAATAATTTATTTAAAATAAAGTTAGAAGGTCAAACGACACTACAATGTAAATTACCGATAATCGATTTTAGAGGCAGCCTTTGACCGTCAGTTAATTCCTCCATTATGTACATTCGTTACAATATTTATGCAATTTAATAATTGCAATGACATTTAAATAATTATTGTAACCTCCATGGCCTTTTTATTCGGCTGTTTTAAATTGTCCCCATTCCCTTATTCCGTTTGTGGTTACATTACAGAATATTTTACTTACGTCAATGACCAATCAATATTCTCAATCGATAGAAATGGCGGGCAATCAGACCGATGATTTTAGTATATATTCCGTTTTTATTAATTGCCTTTTGATTAAAAATCAATTGAACATTATGACATAATTTATTCATCAACATATATTGGAATGTCGCTGCGCTACTGTCGTCTTAAAAACTGGTTGAATATTAGTATGAGCAGAAATATTGTCCATCTTATGTTTTGTTGAGTTTTGTAATGTATATGTTATATATTTCAGTTGAGCAACAGTAATAAAAGTGCTACAATATATGCCTGGAGTACTTGGGGTAGCTGGAGTGCCTGTTCAAGGTCGTGTGGTGGAGGAGTAGCTGTTCAAGAGAGACACTGCCTACCAAGAGATCCTACACGGTAAATATTATATAAGAATAAAAAGCGAGATTGATTCTTCTTATCTATTTTATATTTACTTTAATTAATAAATACGTAGATAAAGAAATTATAAAAATAGTTCTATATGAATTCAAAATTTCGGAGAGAAAATGAACTTTAACATTTTAAAAATATAATATTTTAAGTCTTATCAAAATTATTTTGGTTCTGAATTATAAAACAGTAAACAGTGGTTTAGTAACAGTGGTTTAGTAAAACAGTGGTAGTATTCAAGTTAACAACCAATACCTCAAATTGAAAAGTAAACAAACAAAAAAATTATCAAAGCGTGAAATAAAACCACAATATTATCTGTGAGTATTGTTAAAAAAAATAAGAAGATCAAAATATACGGAACTCCTAAAACCAAATACGTGTCTGACAATGAAAAATAAACAAGTCGAATCTTGAAGAAGATTAATGTTTTTTTATTTCATTTAGAGTTTTTCTATGTCTTAATTATTTCATTAAGAGGTTGTTCGTATATAAATCTTTGTAGAAATATAACTTAATTTGTATAATAGAATCATAATATAAGAATATATTTTTAAAATTACAAATATTTTTATACTAAAAATTGCAAAATATTAACACAGAACATTACTTTGTTATCACGTTTATGTGTAAACCTTCAATCCTGAAGTTATTGATAAATTATTTTATTTAATCGGTCAAGATTTATGATCATCTCATGGTTTTTTACGTAGTACAATATCTTACTGATACTTTTTTAAATTTTAGTATTACGCGTAAATATTATATTTATTTATGTTCAGAAAAAAAAGTGTGAAATATATGTAATAATAAAGCAGTTGACAAATAAGTGACATCAGTGAGCTTTGAACGGGCATAGATCATATATACTCGTAGATGACAATGATATCTAATGATACGACCAGATATATATAGGGTCTATGCCAACCGCTGAGAAACCGTACCGGGTACATCTATCCCCTACTAACAGTTCTCGAATAAAACACTCACTTGTCGTTTAATATCACACTTATATTTTAATATTTAACTAAATACATTGAATACATAATAATTAAATAACTTTTTTCATAATTAAAATATTATATTGAGAATGAAATAAATGACAGATATAAAATGTATATAAGTTTTTGGGTAACTTTTTAGTATGATACATATTTGTAAAAGGTGTGAATAGCAAATAGTAGGGGTAACGAAATGTGGACCCAGCATGAGGGGTCGGCGCTGCCTTTGTGTTCGGATATCATAATTTACTTACACCCCGAGCATTGTTAAAAATATCGGACATTAACAACTCTTTGAGGACGTATTGAAATATGTTTTAGATAATTTAAAAGCAGTTAAGATAATATCGTTTTTTTAAAGCTTCCAGAAAGCAATATACTGTCGCCTTTATCAAGAGACTGCTGCGGTTACTTTAATTTCGATAAATAAGTTAAAGAAATAATGCGTTTAATAACAAACTAACGAAAGACTGTAGTAATAGAAATATTTTTAGCATCCTTAACGGAAATTATGTCGTGACTTATAAATGCGGTCTTGCATATTACATTGCATTCGTACGAAATACAGATATTATAAGTAATTTATTATTCACGTTATAAAGCTATTATCATAGTATAAAATTCAATTGTTTTATTATAATGAAAAGTTATTTGTGAGCCCCTAAAAAATTCTAATGAGATCTAAGACTTTCGCGAGTATTTATTTAAATGAAACTTATTTTTCGGATTACACTACGCGAATTTTACTTTAGTAAAAACTGTAGGACATTCACATCTCGTCTGTCCGTGATCATGGTTGCTAAAACTTAACCGAAACGTCGAGTGTATGTAGTTTCCACAAAAATATAAAACGCGTAGTATAATCCCAAAAATATTAGTTTCATTTAAATATATTATATAATTTATAAACGTGAATTCAAATCATGTGAAAATTATACAAGTATGTATGAGAAAGATGTATAACAATTCCCAAAATTCCTTACATTACACCGGGAACCTTCATTAGAGCATGTTTCGTCATCAGAGAGATCACGAAGTCAAAGCTGCATGACCCTCACCGCCCTTTACTTGAACACAAAATTAAGGTAATATTGAACTTACAAGCAAACGCACCACAGCTTACAAGCTACAAGTATCTACAAGTATCGGACTTTGATTGACGCTCGATAATTTAAAAGCCTATCGCTAATGTACGATTGTTATCTACTTTACACATTGTTTGCATCGGTTTTCGTATTTCAATATATGTTGGTCATTAGTGATAATGCTGACTCAGTACGTTCTATGCTGTAGTATTTTAACAAGCTAACGAATAGCATAAATTGATGTTACCTTGAACTTGTGTTGCAAGCTGTACCTATCAAATTCATAGTCAAGTGCAATTACGTCAGCGGACGTAACATGAAACTAGTATTTCCGTGTATAACCAATATTTAATTCAATTAACGAATTATTGTTACTTATATTATTTGTGTTAATCAATATTATTTACTAATTTAAAAACAATATATTCATGAAATAATATTCTTTAAAATAGTGTTATTTATTTCATCTACATTAATTGTCTTTACGTTGGCAACTATTTCATTGTCAATATTAAGATCGCGATGTATGCGATTAAACCGCGTCTTAACGATCGTTTTATTGGAAATAAAATTTATGGTTGTAATTCCGTTCTTGTTTAAAATAATCAAAGAACAATTAAACAACGCTTCTATAGGTGTTTGTTATTTTTATACAATATCATTGCTATTCATAGCTTATAAGAACATATAGCAACAAGATATATACGCACGCACACACACATATATATGTATATACAAATAAACTTCAAGCAATGTAAGCACATTGTTCCATATATCCCATGTTATTAGTTGATAGTAAGAAAAAATTACAACATGCATCCTTAAATAACAGAACAATCAAGTACAAAGGCGTATTAAATTCATCGATAAGTAATTAATGGAGGCGTAGTGATGTAACACTTTCATAATATTAATTACGGCGCCCTGCAGTTTGAATTGATAGTGATGTTGATCTGAAACAATGGTGAAGATACTATCGTGTCATACAAAGGACTTGGTGGCTGTTATTAGAAATTTTATCAAAGCAAGCGAACCTACGCAAATCGATTTTATTTCGAACGAACTTTATTATGAAGAATTCTTAGAATCTTAGAAGAAAAGACTCAAATTATTATTACTTATACTAAACTTCGATTAATTAAAATGTCTTTTAAATCCATTTCCAACTGAAACGTCTTGAAACTTTTGACTTAATATATATAATAAAAGTTCTTTAATTAATTGTAAGGGTGATTTAAATTAAAATTTCCTTATAATGATGAGCATGACTTGTGTTTATATAATAACATCCCCGGATTGATACAACAACCTCTAAATACAATGATCTCATTGATACACAATATAACTTACATGTTATATTTATAATTACACGATGTTGTTTGCTTCTAAACATTCTATACATTTAAATTTAGTTTCAAGATGATTATACGGAGTAAGGTTTGTTTCAAAAACTTCTAAATAATATAGCAATGGAGTATCAAAGGATTGTTTTCTGCTTAACTTGGCTAGTACGTTGCAGTTCCTAAACTTATCTGAATATATTAAAATGAAATTAACATTTGCAACCGAAACGTTGAGAGTCCGAAAATATTAGTTTCATTTAAATGAATACTATCGGAAGTCCCAGGTCTCTTTATGAATATATTAAAATAAACATAAATTAGAATAAAGTTAAAGTAATTTTTATTCCTTATGAGTAATTCAAGACTTAAACTAGTTAAAACTAGCAAAATAAGAGAATACTATTGGCGGTTTATTGCGAAATATGGGCTTAATGTACTATTGTGAATTACAGGTGGCGTCGCAGCAGGAAGAGAAGGAAACTAGGCAGAGAAGACAGATCTCGTCGAGCTCGTACTGCCAATAATATTGTGAATGTACCAGACTGTGCCGGACTTGGAAGACGATACCACGAGTGTAATACACAGGTTAAGATTGTTTATTATTATTATTTTCTTTATGTGAAAGGTGGCAAAAAGCAGACGGCCTGCTTGATGGGCAGTAGTGACCATCGCCTGTGGACATCCGCAACATAGATGTTGCGAATGTGTTGCCAACCTTGATGTTGATTAAAAGGAGGGGTGGGAATAAGGAATTAGTAGGAAAGGGTGGGAACAGGGAAAGGGCAACCGACTTTCTCACTCATCGGACGAAACGCAGTCACTATAGGCTACTTCATGCCGAACTTCTGTGAGAGGGTACTTCCCTGGTCGAGCCAGCCAAATTGCTTATAAGTCATAAAAGATGTTCTATTGCTAGCTGATAGGCATATATAATAACAAAACGACCAACGCTTAACCTAAATTTAATCGTCACACTACATACAGAGCGTTAAACGTTTATTTTAATAAATTTTAACACATTTCAGTATAATTGTTGGATATTAAATGAAAACGGGAATCGTTTCATATTTAGTATGACAATGCAAACTATTGCTAAACATACAGGGTTCTTAGAAAACATAACATAATGTTGGCTTTACTTAATTCTAATTCTTACTAATTATGTTCTTCAAATAACTTGTTTTTTTTATGTTAAATAAATAATTTTGTTGTTTTTCCTCAACGCTATTCTGTTCTCAAGTTGAGGATATTATTGAATATATTGTAGATCTGATAAACGCTACATGCTACACGACTACTATACATTATGTATATTCTACAGTACATCTATTGAAATATATTTTTACACTCAATACCTACATATAAAATTAACGAAATGTAAATTTATTAACGAAAGGTTAACGGAATGCATTCAATTTCTTTTAACATCGGTTTGGTATATCTAATATATGCATCATTTTTATCGTTTTTTTTTTCTTTTTTATTAAGTCACAAAAGAAATACATAGAAGGACCAAGTATTTTTTCCTTATTTGAAACACTGTCATCAAATTAAATAAGCTCAAATATGTACGAGACGTAATATATGTAACAAGGTATTACATTTATAAAGGACATAGATATATATGAGAGATTCTTACAAATTATGAAAATGCAATAGAATAAGTGATTAGAACCACTTGATAACTGCACAAAAGAAATACATAAGCGTCAGTTAAGTAAAGATATTTAACCAAGAAATACTTCACAAAAGAGAAATGATTTTGCATAATTTTTAAACTCAAAATATTTATTAAAGTACATTTTTAGGGTATCTAAAATAACTTTTTGTCATCCATTTCTTCTTCTTTCATTCAAAATAAATTGTAACTAATGATATATATTGATGGCTTACAACGTCATTGCATTGTCCAATAACTTATGTGATGTGTAATGAAATAATTTTTATATAAATAACATAAAGCTTATTCCAGCCATGTCCGGGATCGTATCTGGATTCTCGTGGGGAACAATGCGCGTTGTACGACCGCAGGCCGTTTAGAGGCAGGTTCTATACATGGGTTCCGTACGTCGACGGTGAGTCGAAACTTAATATTCCCTGCTATTTCTTCCTCGGTATTCCCAAAGAAGGAAACATATTGCCTCAAATTACATCGTTGAGGATTTTTTTGTAATATTTCTTTTAATTTAGTAACGGTGCTAAGTATGACATTTTTTTTGTTACAAATAAAGGCACGTGTTTCAATATCTACGTATTCTGTAAAAAAACTCATTTGTTAAAACTCCTCACGCGCTACCAACCGTTAAACTTTTGTAATAATTCAGAGTGATCATAGTTTTTGTACTTTAAAGTCGACATTGACAACATTTTCAAATGAAGTTACTATTCATTCTTGTATTCATTCGTTCATTCATTCTTTTATTCATTCGTTCATAGGTAACGCACCATGTATTCTCAACTGCCGGCCTCGTGGACAGCAGTTCTACGCATCACTAGCCCTGGTCGCTGATGGAACTTCCTGCACAAAACCCGGTTACCGCGCTATATGTGTTCAGGGCTCATGTAAGGTAAGACGAATATATTTTGTTTATTGCAAAAAACTTATACAAAACATTAAATAATAATTTATATACTTTTTGCTATATTCGCATTGCTGTAAGAAAGACGGTTTATCCAACCGGTGTTTCCTTGGAAGTAAAAAAAAATATGTATGGTTTTACGTGTTATATTCAATTTATTGTATGGAAAAAAAACAGTAAAACCGTAACTATATCCGATTTCCTGGATATATCCTCTAATTTAATTAGTACTATACATCAATTAGGCAAAGTCCCATATTAAAAGGATATCTGAAATTGTTTCGCATACGGAAACATCTTCCACATTAATCATCGAGAAGTGCATTCTAGACATAAAGTATTAGTATTCGTGTTTCTGGGTGTAAATTGAGTAACAAATACACAATTAAACAACTTTTAAACAAACTGTATAAAATTATTTTTTGTTGTATTCATATAAGCGCCATCTAGCGAGAACATTAGCAATGTCACTCCAAATAACTACTGATCAGCTCCATCTATGGTGGATATTAAACCTTAAAAACATCGTTGCATTTGTATTTCGATAACCAAAAGCTTGTTATCTTTCATTCGCTCTTTTTCGTTTGTTTTTTTCATTTAAATTTTCGTTCGTTCAAATATAACCATATTTGTTATTTTTCATTAATATTTACGGAAAAATATAATAAAATTTTCTTTATATATTTTGCACTTCAAATTATTTAAACAAATATGAACAAAACAAACATAGTCACACACACGAACATTGACACACACAAAAATTTTTAAGTGTTTAATTTTTTCTTAAGACAATTATTGTGTTTCTTATTTTTTTGCTTTATTACATACTTAAATATGTTTATTTTAGCAGGGAAGTAGGGAAAATGTACTTAGAAGAAAAATAGTTAAACGCTTAGTGGCGTAAACAATTGCTAAGTGAACTGCCTATAACCCTAGTTAAACCAAATAAAACAAATCATATGATAGAACTGTACATTTTCAATAAAATTTATATCAAATCATCTTAACTCATACGAAATGAAGAGCGTAATTATTTATTTATTGTACACAACGTAGACAGGAGAGACTTAGGTATACTCGGGAATCTAATACCAAAAAAACTGCACCTACTAGGTATTAGGTTTCCATACAGATATTGCGTCGACTTAATATTGAATAAGTTATGCCTGTAAACGGTATCTTGTTACGTTTTAATGGACACCTATTTATTATCTACTTAAAGCTTTCCAGACAGCTTTTGTATAATGATAGCGAATGATAAGTAATTGCAGACTTTCTTATCAGGACAGTAGCAATCTATTTGGTAATATTCTTTACACAAATTATATATTCAACAGGTAAAATAGGTCTATTTTAGTTGACTAGTTAATGTCATACGTCAATAATTAATTATATGAAACTGGTAAAGTATTGCCTGTAATGTGAGATTACTAACTCTCGCCAGGATTTAAAATATGTATCTAAATTACAAGGAAAAATGTCGCCTACGTTTATTATAATGAGCTTTGCTTATTAATGGAAGAGAAATTGTTCGAATGAAGTGGATTTTTTCACCAATACCTCTTACTGCTTTTTTAAGTTTTAAATAGTATTTTATTTATTTGTATATTGCCATAAATAAAAAAATTAAATACAAGAGGTTAAATACCTTCCTTATTTATTGTTTCTAACCAAATTATTATCTATAGTAATGTGAATATTCTTATATTTCTTAAATAACATGCGATGTTTTGCGGGCGTGATCGCCGTGTCTAGTTCAGTTGCCCCGCGGAACTAATGCTTCGTGTGTCTCGACCGCACAGAAATATATTACATATATAAAACAACTACAACAAATCACATTACTTGAACCATAATTTATTTTTAAATTATCACACTTATTCCATTTGTTATATACACAAATGTTAATATTATAGTGTTACGAGTATGAAGGATTTTCAAGATTTTATCGTGATATAAACTGGCAACATTATAGCCCCTGGCTCCTAACAGTACAATGGATCAGTTGCCAGTATTTGACGGTAATTGTTCAATATTTACACAACACCAAGACCATTTTACGACGACCCCACAAACCAATAAAATTAAATATATTATACGGCTTCTAAAATATCTTGAATTATTTACATGTAATAATTGTAATGCTCTAAATCGTACTCTATTTTGACGCAAGACTATTTTATTACCAACTACATATAATCAATTATTTTACCGATAACAATTACATTACACGAATATAGCTGTACTTGTATTGATGTATGATCTACTTAATTTTATTATTTTTTTGTTATCACATTAAAATGTATATAATGTCAGTCTCAATAATATACCTTGTGTCAGCTAAAAAATTTCACTGAAATCGTATCAGCGGATATTTGAGTATGTCACACATGTAAATTTTGATATTTATAATAATGTTTGAATTAAGCGATAAATTTCAAAAGTAATTCCTAATCTTATTTACAAGGAGATGTTTTAAAGTTTAGAGAAACATTGAACAAGACTTCGTGAAGATTTTTAAAGATACAAGTAGAACTGTAGATCTATTAAAGACGATTGCTTTTATAGTACCTACTATCTGAGCATTGGAAGTATATAGATTATAATTTGTTACCGACTTGTATATGAGTTTAGTAAATTCGAGAATAAATATTTGGTATTGTTGATAAAATATGATCAAAATTAACACCCCTTCTTAAGCGGTAACAAAATCAAACTCATTTAAAACCTTTTATCAAAACGTAATAACGTTCAAAATCCAACATGAATGTACGCGAAACAATGACTCCAGTAAATTAAAAATCATTTAAACCATCTCAGATTTTTAATGGTTTGGAATACTGACATCATTCAATTAAAACGCCTTTATTACTGAATATACATATATGTACATACGTACAAATTAAGATTTATTTATTATAACCCAAATATCAAATCTTTAGTAGCAGAACTCGTGATTGCAAATTTCATACGAACAGAATTCCTTGTGTGGTAATGATCTACAGATGGTGGTGTTACGCTCATTGACTCATAGAAGTAGACTGGCTATAGTTTATTTTGATAATCTCCCAGGTCATTGACCGTGAGTGTGAAATTGTATTAATAAACAAAACAGTTTTTACACGTAGTTCCATTTCTATTAAAGTTTTCCACTGTAAATGGAAGCATTGACTTCCATTTATAAATTAATCTAGTATGTATGTTTAAGCAAATATACCTTAAATTAGGTGCTAATGACGTAGATAAATTTCATTTTATTTTTTGCACGTCTTTCATTTCGTGATCCTGTTACAAGTAACACAAAGTAATTATTTCTACGGAGAAGTGAAGCAACATTGCTAATAGGGATTTTTTCGAACATACCAATGACTATTGTATTCTTAGTTAATTTTAAATTCATCCCGTTACTCCGGATTTGCGGCTCCATAAAAAATATGCTTATAGGACTTGAAAGAATTTAATGTACGAGAAACAACGACATCTAGACTCGTTATAACTTTTTATTGTTCTTAAATAAATTATACGATCGAAATATCCATTCTTATTAATAGATTCTTTAAAAAATAGTAAAGTATAATATAGCTTTGTATGTTTTTAATCATGCAATTAAGCTTCGAACCAGAAGGCGGAGTGCACACAGCCTTGTCGAATTCCCATCACTAATCAAAGAACGCTCATTATATTATGCAATCAAAATGAATTTTAAATTGCTGCTGACAGATGCGACGAATTAATCGCTAATGACAACTCAGCTTTATGTGGGCCTTCGAAGTTGGTACAGCTATTATCAGATTCGGAAGGCTCCTACCGAATATCGGTGGTCCGAGCGTGGCATGCCGGCGTCTCTACACCAGTGTGCTGCGCTCGATGGCGCTGTATGGAGCTCCAGTGTGGGTCGGTGCCCTCACAAGGCCGAACGTGGCTGCGCTGCACAGGGTGCAGCGCGTCATGGCGGTGAGGGTGGTACGAGCATACCGCACTGTCTCACATGAGGCGGCTTGCGTGCTGGCTGGGACGCCTCCCTGGGAACTGGATGCCCAGGTTCTGGCGGAGGTGTACCACCAGCGTGCGCGAGAGCGATCCCGGGGAACGAGTCCGGACTGGGATCGGGTGGAAGGTTGGCGGCGCTCCGCGCTCGCCTTGCTATTTCGCCGGTGGAGGCGGAAGCTCTCTGAGCCAGTGGCCGGGTTGCGAACCGTGGAGGCTATTCGCCCGCTCCTCAAAGAGTGGGTGGACCGCCGACACGGTTCCTTGACCTTCCGGCTGGTGCAGATCCTCTCGGGGCATGGTTGCTTTGGGAGGTATCTGTGCCACATAGTCGGAAGAGAGCCGACCGCGGCGTGTCACCATTGCAGTTGCATGGATGACACCCCCGATCACACCTTGGCGGAGTGCCCTGCGTGGGCGATAGAGCGTCGCCAGCTAACCGCGGTGGTTGGCGCAGATCTCTCGTTGCCGGCAGTGGTTCAGGCCATGGTCGGTAGCGAGAGTGCCTGGGAGGCGGTGGTCCGGTTCAGCGAGTGCGTCATCTCGCGGAAAGAGGCCGCTGAACGAGCGCGGGAAGATGACCCCTCCTCGGCGCCCCTGCGTCGACGAAGGCTGGGTAGAAGGCAGCGGGCCTACGCTCGCCAAATGCCTCCCCAGTGAGAGGAGCCTCCGGGCGTTGGTGGGGAACCGGCGTCCGGGCAACATAGGCTGGAGTGAGAGTGGCGTGCTTGGCGTTCCCGGCACGCTGCTCTGGAGTCGGAGGGGAAGTGTGGTGAAGCCACTGTGACCCCTGCCGAAGACGGAGTCCATGGGACTCGTGCGTAGTGAGCGGAAGTATGGCTTGCCGTTCCCGCTCACTAGCCTACGCACAGCGCAGAGAACGCCGAGGAGTTTAGTGGGTGGAAATCCCACACGCCCCCGCCGTGTTTTCCCCCGCGGCGGGAAGTCTTTGAAAGATTCTCCTCGTTAAAAAAAAAAAAAAAAAAAGCTATTATCAGATA